TTCTGGGTTATAGTTTATATTTAAAGCCGCCAGTAAGCCGTTAATGTTACTGCAGAAAACCAAGTTATTCTCCATATTGAAAAATGGCGTTTAAGAAAAACACCGAAACATCATCGTCTAACAAGTTCCACTGCTGCAGTCTTGATCCAAGTAACTCTGCCTTACATTTTGGAAGTTCTAAATCGCTTACAAGATCATTTAATTCTGACTGTGTTATTTTGTGCGGTTGGTGGCATGACGTGCTCGGTATAAAATCAGGATCTCTTGACGTTGATGGCATATCTTCTTCCTGACGAATCACTCGATCGCCATAATCTGATTCGTTTTCTGATTCGCAAGTGTAGGATTCAGGGGGTTTTGGGATAGGATTTTCGTCACTGTGAGGCACAGGTCTCATCGCAGATGGTATGTTTGGGTAGTTAATAACCGATTTTTTTTTCTCGAACATACCTGTGGCTTGCCCAACACAAGGTACCATGCAAAAGTAACAATCATTAATATGATTTGTAGGCTCTCTCCAAACCATTGGGACAGCAAAGCGCATAGACCGTTTTTTGCCATTTAACCAGCTCCTCAGGCTTGAAGCACATGTATTAGAGCAGATGTGGGGTGCCCACTGTTTGTCTTGATCACCTAGTTTACAACCGAAATAAAGCTGATATGCCTTTGTTATTAGTGGAGTAATAGACCGTCTCTGAGACGCAAAAGTCACATCACCACACACGTAACAAAACTGATCTGGATTGTTTACACACTTTCGAGACATCTTGCATGAACGCTGTCAGCCAACTGAGGAAAAAATGGCTAATATAAAACAATATAATGTACACGTATGTATAACGTAACACAATCATGCCGATTACATCATCTTTCCTTGCCGAATATAAAAATGTAGCACGTGCATTCTTGTGAATTACGGTATATTAACACATATAATTACCGTATCTCTAAAACTTGAACTAATATTGAAAAAACAAGTTTCATTCCGGTTTTAGCACATTAAAAATAGTAATATTTTGTTGATTTTATTTAGGATATTTTTTGGCTGTTGATCAGTGTTATCGTATTCCACCATAGCTCGAATCGTTGTTCAGCATCGAACATAGGACCAATGAAGACAAGAGTTATTATGAGCTTTTCCTTTTTAAATATTAATCGATTTGTTAAAAACTGATATTAGAAGAAACAAAAACGATAGATATTTCTGGAAAAATCTATATTTTTTATTAGTCGACAAACTGTGTAGTAGTAATAAAATGATAAGATCAATATTAACAACAAAAACGACAACAATCTTGTTTAAAAACTGATAAACATAAACAAATTTTTATTGGAATCTAAATAAAATAAAAAAAGATGAGAGCCACAATTGAAAGATTAAAAAACATAAAATACAAAACCAAACTTATTAGAAATTGAAAATAATGATTTCTACAAATGTTCAGTCTCAGTGCCATTTGACTATAATGAAAATGATTAAAACAGAAGCACAAACCTTATGACATTGAAACTAAAATACCAAATTTTAAGTTCAGGCCATAAAAAACTGAAAAGAATTATTCCCACAGATTTCCAGTTAGGACGCTTAAAAATAACAATTTTGGTAATATTTTACCTAAAATACGGTTTCGCGTTTTCTTGACCGAATCTGTCGTACAGATGGCGCTGTTCAGAAAAATCGATTAAAATGGGTAATTTATATAATCGATTTCTTACAAATTGTTTATATAATTTTATAAGTGTATAATCGATTTTTTAAAAAGCAAGCAATCTTCAGGTAATTATTCTTGGAACTACTTTTTTGAATGATTTATCAGATATTGTCGTCCGTTTTTCATACTAGACAAATGACCGTTTCATATGTCTGTTGGTCCTTCAAATCTGTGCTAATTGCCATTCGTACATATTTTTAGATTTGCAGACTCACTCGAAAATTATTTATATGTTCACTGGTTGAAAATTAGGTCTTTCCGCTCACCGAGAATCAAACCATAGCATATAGTAGTCTGGAACATCGGTAGCGTATTGCCAATATTATATTTAGAGATTGGAGCTGCCGACTTATAAACATGTGTATAGGAAGTATTTGAGTATAAATTAATCGATATTATTGAGAGGACTATAGATTTTGGGTCGGTGAATCAAGAGAATAACAAACTGCCATTCAGGCTGAGGTTTCCGTGTTTATTCAGTATGATATTTCAGGATTGTTGATATATTAAATATCCCAGCAACCAAACGAAGACGTTTTGCATGTGGGATCTTTTCAGTCTGGTATACACTATGAACTCAAGAAACCAGGCGAACGATATGTGATAATCAATGTTCTGAAGAGATGTTCAAGTTTCCGGTTCTAATAAATGTATTTATTATTTTATACCCAAGTCAAACCTTGAATGCCAGAATACCGGAGCTACTGACAAATGATTCATTTTTTTCAAAAAGAAATTTTTTTTCAAAAGAAAAAATGGCGTCAAGTTGGTTGGCTCTGCAGGATTACGTCCAGCACAAGTTAAACCCCATGAAAAAGGAGTCGTTACGAACATGGATCAGGTCAGTCAAATAGACCCATACAGACATTATTTTCCCTACCCACAGTACCGTCCATCTGGAAACCTCCGAAAACGCCCAATTTTTAACCCCTACAAACATTTTGAAGTTGGAGTGATTTCTGTTTTTTCGTTTTTTGGCCAGCAGCTCCGCCACAGCAGGACCGATTTCGAACTGAATTTTCTGGAACCAGTTTAATTGAAAGTAATATACTATTAAACTAAGTTGTTTAAAAATAGCAAACCATGTAAACTGTGTATTTAATTAAGGTAATTTATTTTAGATAAAAAAGGTACATTTAAAACAAATAAACACTAATAAAATCAGCTAAACTGTTTATTTGAATCGCGGACTCGACCCTTTCAAGCAGTGCTAGATGTCAAGATTTTTAACTGCTTCCTGAAGAGACTAGAAAGTAGAAAAATGTTGGAGAATTTAGTTTGAGAACTCAAAAAGCTTTGGCGCCTTTAAAAATGTTTTTGAGCACATTCAAAAATTATCGGAAGTTCAAGGAGTATCAAAAAACAAAGTTTGAGACCGTTTCAAAATATTTAACATTTCGTGCATACACCTACCAAGACTCTACGAGGCTTTTTCGTCTGTAGCATAAATGAAAATGACATCCAAAGCATTCCAACTGATAGGGGGATCAAGAATATCGAATAGACAACAGACCGATGGGTTTCGGGGCGAGGATATCTGTAAACCCATAATAAAAAAACATTCAAATAAATATTTCCGGAGCTACGGGAGTTGGAGAGTTAAGTATATATGCATTTAATTAGAAAAATAGTACAATGTCCGTCAAATTAAAATCGGAATAATGGTCCTTTCCAAAAAAAAAAGCGTAAGCTGTTTCAAATAATCTCGAACACGGTCTCCAGAGCACTGTTTTATGGAAGTGTTCGTTAACTTCAAGCGTTACCGAAGTCAAATTGGTGGCCATACATCACACATTTCCGCTCTGAGGATGTGTGACTACTTTTATGTTTCTCTTTTGCGTAGACCGAGAAATATGTGAAGGCAGAACTGTACTAAATTAAAATCACTGGAAATACCTGCTGCAGATATATTTGTTTTACTGCTTTGATGTTAGGTATACATTTTGTATGGGTAAGGACGCTTATCGGGAGAGCTTGTGAAACATAAATGGTAATTGAATTATAATAACGAAATTCATTTGTTAAAGTGGATGAAAAAACATCCAAAATCTGGCTATAGAAAATTGGATGGCGTAAAGTGTATTATGTGACTTTCAATTTTGCTTGTTAATTTGTTACTTAAATGTAGCGTTCAACAAGTACCGCATGTTAATGGACTTTTGCTAAAAAAGCCTTTAAATCCGTCTCTTGAGAAGAGATTAAGTGTCAACTATCATAAATAACTAGTTGGTTATTTTTTACTTATCTGCAGTTTTATTTGTTTTAGGCAAGATTAGCTTACGCGTAACCAAGGCACCAGTGTGACGATAAATTTAGGTTAAGTGAAACCTACAATATTATTTTTGAAACAGTTACATTAGCAGCTGTATATATCATAAGGACTCATATTGCTTCTGAATCTTTGGCTTGTAATAACTTATATCACAATTCATAAGGTGCAAATCCACAATGAGACTTTTTCATGATATTTTTGTTTCGTAAAATAAAAATCTCATGGAAAGTATTATTTTGTTGCTTAAGTTTCGGCGTGTAAATATGACATAACGCGAATCTCACTTGAGACATTTCTTTCACTTGCTGCTCGTCAGTTGCGTTGCTATATCGTGAGATAAAACTTGTGTTTAGGAAAATCAGTGAACCAAGTGGAAATAGACTGCTAAAAAGGAAAAACTCTAGTTTCAATTGGACTAGAGCTATGATAGAAGAGTTACATGAATCTTGTCCCAGATTGTTGAACTGCTCGTCAGAACGCTATAAAAATATAAATCTGAGAAAATCAGCCATAGACGAAGTTTCTAGAAAAGTGGATATTCCTGAACAGGAAGTCAAGTACAAAATACATAACCTTCGCTTTTCTGATACGCTTTTTTGTTGGCAACTTTACAATTATTTGATCAAGATCAATAATTTTATGCTATTTCGTCACGTAGGTACCGTGGGAACAGCTGAGCTTAGAGACACACTGTCAAATGCGAGAGCAAGAACTGCAAGTAGCATAACTCGAAAATCTGTTCTGTGCACATAGATCCAAGATAGATTTCTCATGAGACAAAAATCTCTTGAGATTTTATTCTTTTTACGGACATTCAGCTTTACACACTAATACGTCAAAGCGCTAAACACGTGATACAGATTAGCTTATGATAATCAGTTTACTGAGTCAGTTAGCAACGTTTTCAGGTCAAAGATGAAATTGTGACACAAAAAATCAGTGAATACTTTTATAAGTTAGTATTTAACTCTACTCTTTGATATTAAGAACCATATGTATAGCTAATGTATACTCACATAGTTTCTGTATCCGCTCATCTTTGAGATGTAACTTAGGTATCCTGTCTCAGTTTCGCACTCACTATCTCGACAATATTTCAAAACGATTTACATCTTATAGTAGCGAACGTGAATCAGCTTAATGAATCAGATATTAGTCAAAATTAAACACCGTTTCAGTTTAAAAATGAATGAATCCTTTACTACGATTACGGTTCAGTTAGTATTTGATTCCATTCCAAAACAATAACCGCAAACTAAAAATACGCGAAAACAACGAACGCTGTGTAATTTTGACATAACATCAACAAGTCCGATATCCGAGACGCGAGCGAGAATCGGACGAGCGTCTCCAGCGTCGGGACGCTTGTGGCGGAGGACGTCGCCAGCGTCGCCGTCGTACACTCGCACCAGGTCGCACTATTTAAAGAACAGACTCGTCAACGATGGGACTTGTTTCAGAAAAAGTGCGTGCGATACAAATTATCAGTATCTCAATGTTGTCAATAGTCTACTGCTAATTTCTGGTTCTATAGCATGATACGCCCTCCGGTTCCTAATCTCCAAGCCTGCTATCATAACAAGCCTTGTGCGGGACCACAACTTAATAATAGAAAGTAGTTCCAGATAAATTAGTTTTAAAAAATAAAAATTTAAGGGATTTCCGTATAAAATCTTTTTTGGCCTAAATTTTGGGTTAGGAACAAGATATCGAGATGCGCTTTTCGCAAACTTGTTTAGACAACACTTACCTACTTTTTCATTAAAAAAATTATACCAATGCATTTAATTTTTTTGAGAAAATTAACCGTTTCTTGCGGAATGCAGAAAAAGCCATCTAGCGGCCACATGTGAAACTAACAAAACTTCAAATATTATAACGTCTGTAGCCCAAGAAAAGCTGATTCAACTAGCTCAAGTTTTTTAAAATCGACCCAGCCGTTTCGAAGATACAGGGTGTTTTTTACGGAAACCTTTGAATACCGCCACCACTTGATTTTTAGAGATACAGCAAAAATTGTCAAACAAAAAAAGTTCACATTATCCTCTACTTGTCCTTAACCTTGCCAAAGTTGCTGCCTTCTCGGATATAAAAAATGCTTATCTTCTTCATAGGTTTTTCATATTGTTTCCTTTTCTGTCAACTTTATATACTAAGTGACATATAAATCCGAACACCCAGTTTAAATGGTTTTATTTTAATAAATTTTGTATAAGTACTTAATGAAGCATAATAAGTAAATGATAAAAATTTCAAAATGATTGCACAGCTTTAAAGCCCTTTGACCTTTAATAATGTGTGGATGCACCCTGATGTGCTACGCATTCTCCAACGCGCCTAAGCATGCTTCTGATCAGGTGGTCAATGTCCTCCTGTGGTATCTCATTCCAGGCAACCACCAACTCCTCTCGAAGTGCTTCTAGAGTCTGAGGAGGACGTTGCAAATTGAGCAATCTCCTACCCATCATATCCCACACGTGCTCAATTGGGGATAAGTCGGGAGATCTTGGTGGCCATGGTAACAATGTGACATCATTATGTTGAAAGAAGTCCATTGTGACTCTTGCAACATGTGGTCGGGCATTATCTTGTTGGAAAGTTGGATCTGCCAGGGTGTCAAGATAGGATAAAAGATGGGGTTCTAGAACTTCGTGGATATAACGCTGCGCGTTCATGTTACCTCTGATGAAGATTAAAGGTGACCTGGAACCATAAGCTATAGCACCCCAAACCATAACTCCAACAGTGTGATGAACATGTCTTTCAACAAAAAACAGTGGATTCCTCCTTTTACCACGTCGCCTTCTAACCCTGGCACGACCATCGTGCATGCCTAAGCAAAATCGAGACTCGTCACTAAAGACAATACTGTTCCATTCCTGATCCCAGAGTGACCGTTGTCTGCACCACTCAAGGCGATTACGTCGGTGTTCTCGAGTTAAAGGGAGGACCCAGTGTGGCCGTTATGAAAACAAGCCAAAACTTCTCATTCGTCGGTAAACACTTCGCATGCCAATAGGTCTTCCGTGTTCTGCAAACCATTCATTTGCAATGGACCTGGTAGTGGAGAAACGGTCCCTTAAGGCCAATAATCTTAGGCGGCGATCTTCACGGTCTGTTGTTCTACGGCGGCGTCCAGTGCCCCTTGCTCTTTGCGTACGGCCTTCTCGAAGCCATTCCTGACAACACCTAACCATAGTGTCTACACTTCTTTGCACTCTAACTGCAATTGCCCGAAAAGAAAGTCCAGCTTCCCGAAGTCCCACTATACGGCCCCTATCAAACTCACTAAGTTGACGAAATCGTACAGGTCTCCGTACTCTAGGCATCGTAACCGATCGTAAAGGATGTCAAGAACCAAAATCCGCCAACGTTGATTCTTTACTGCGGCTGAAATATTCATTTTTAGAGCGTTAGTGAATTAAAAAAAAAACAGTATAAAAACCGGAATGTCCAACTGATAAGGCTGAAAATTTTTTCACTTGTTATTTACAGTGAGATAAATACATTCACCAACTTTTATTAAAATAAAACCATTTAAACTGGGTGTTCGGATTTATATGTCACTTAGTATATATGTCCTATTCCATTTAAAAAACATGATTACTCTAGTGGTCATTGATACTTAACAATGACTAATTTTCCATACCTTATATATTTCACAACTGATTAAGTATTCGTATGAAGTTGACTTGCTTGCGTAATAGGAAACCTATTAAGCCTGGGTGAACGCTCTCGGAGATGTATAAGTTAATAGAAAATTGCATGTAGTTTGACTGTGAACGTCCTATGTAGTCCTGTCGTCAACCTGTTGTACTACTGCGACAAATTAAGACGTTTTGGAAGAAAATTGGCACCTGCCCCCCACCAGAGACGACCACATCCCTGACTCAAAGGCTAGATCGGCCCTTGTTTTCAATTAATATTGGGGGAGACCCTATACAAGTACATCTATTTTCGAAAAATTTTGCGATTACAATGCTCCTCGCCATTAATGTAACACCTGAACCTTATCCTGTCAATTTCATGTTTTGTGGGCATTAAATGAAACCGTCCTTTTGCTTACGTTTCGTCTCCTTCTTCAAAGTGATGTCACTTTTTCTTCTGTACTTTGCAAAAGGCCACCGAGATGGCCGAAATGTTGGTAAAAACTGCAAGCTGCGGTACCATTTAACGCCCAGAAACCATGAACGTACGAGCCCTTTCCCACTTCAGTTGGCCCACTTCAAGATTTGTACCAAAATATGCCTTTATAAACTAAACATGACGAAACTATTTACTTCTAAAACAATTTATTTTCTCAAAAACATTTTAGATACACTCTAGTCGTAAAAAATACATATTTTAAATCACTTAGACCTATAACTAATAGAACATCTGAACAAATAAACAATGTGCGAATAAATGCGCGAAGTTAACAAAGCAACAATTGAAAGATTACCATTGGGTAACATCACCTTTATTTTTTATAAAATTTGGTGTAAAACAATCCCATATTTCTTGAAGCTTTTGTCTCAGTTCGGTGATTGTACGAGCAGGATGTTGTCGTAGAACCTTTTTCATCTCGTGCCACAAAGTTTCAATAGGTGACAGATCTGGACTGCTAGAAACCCATTTCAAAAGTGGTACAATATTTTCTTCCATCCATTTTACAGCCTTTTTTGAGGTATGGCACGCTGCACCATCTTGCTGAAACACAAAATCTTGGCCGGATGTCAAACATTCTTCCATCACTGGTAAAAGCGATTCTTCTAAAATTGCCAAATATTTGTTTGTATCCACATTTCCATCAATAAAATGAAGTTTTCCTACTTCTTTTGATATTACTTTTTTTCGCAAATCGTGGCTTAATATTGACTGAACCAGTCACGTTATATCTTCTAACAATATTTCTCATACTGTACCGCGATAAGTCTAACAAAGTTGCAATTTCTGAGTTTGATTTCCCAGAATTCAAAAATTTAATTATCAGTAACCGAATTTTCTCACTAATAACCTTTCCTCTACCCATTTTGAAAACCTTAACTACCCAAAACTATTTTAAACGTATTCTGACAGCTGTGATTAATAATAACAATTGTCACGGCTTTTAGTTTTCACAGCCACGGATGCGTTATAGACTTATTTTGCATTGAAATGAAAATAGGTTGATATGCTGTTGTAATTGCAACATGTGTTATTTTTATGCTGCAAATTGGGAGTGATAAAGTTGGTTTTGTAATATTTTAAACCTATAACACCCTGCTACATTTTTATTATTTGTGTTTGATAAGAAAAAAAACTAAGATTTCAATAGTTGGGCCATCTAAGTACTTCCTTGCCGGTTGGGGGGGAGGAAAACACAAGGTCGTTCTCACAAAATATCATCATAGCAACTATATTTGAAACACTATGAAAATACGCTGCTGGAAACAAAAAAAAGGTTGGCCCATGAGGGGATCGAACCCGCGACCTTCGCGTTATTAGCACGACGCTCTAACCAACTGAGCTAATGGGCCAGTTGGATTTTTGTTTCTATAACAGCAATATACGGTACGCATATGCAACGTAAAAAAAAGCGAATTAATGTATTTTATTTTTTCAAAATATTCATCTATGCAAATTATATCATTCATGATATCCAAACACAAACAAAAATACGTTAATGCAGGAAATGACACAAATGCAGGCTACAGCACGAATCTATGGATATAACCACAGAATACAACGTGATATACCCGTAATAGTACAGTCATCATGGGTAAAAATGAGGTGGACGTCAAACAGGAAAATTGACAAAAAGCATTAATTAACGTATTCTACCTAAAGATATCCAACCTAATGCTATATTCCCACGTCCAAAAATTATCGAAGGAAAATGCGATACGGTATCATCGCCAATGAAAATTTGTCACTCCTGTTTGTCTATTTAATATAAACAGGGTGTCCGAAAAGTCATGGAGCGAACGAAATGAGGGCGATATGGGGCACTTAGCACTATACTACAACTATTTAAAACTGTAATGACTCATACACGTGATCAACACGTGATCAGAGCTCGATCCCGGCTTCCTTCCAGTACAGCCGTATAGCGTACGACATATGTCGTTTCTGCGGCTTTGCGGTGGTCAACAGCACAGACAGAGATGGAAATAATGGCTGATTGTTCTCCGCCGGTAGAACCAATGAAATCAAAGACGCGCCTCGACCGGCAGACTCATAGGCGTCGGCAACGCATTGGAACGTGTTTCGTTGAGCGATCGCATATTGTGTGTTTTTATAAGAATTGTTGTGTGATTGTTATTGTTGTGGTTTCTGTGGTTACTGTTTTGGTTATACTTAACCATGGAGAGTACAAATGGCACGAGTGGAAGTACTGAAAGC